TTAAAAAATTTTTTAAAAAGGAGTTGTCAAACAGGGCCTTAGCTGTAGCCATTAGCTGAGCAAGCACATTGTTAGCTGCTACGTTTGAGAACCTTGTTAGAAATAAAGCTGTTAGCCATAAGCCCTGGCTCGCCTCAGTTCTTTAGCCTCCTGTTCTGAGGACAGAACACTGGTGACGAAGATGGGATGTTAGACTGAGGCTCAAGAGCTGTAAACAGATCACTAATACAAGGCTCCAATCACTAAAATAACTGCAAATCCACCCAAGGAAAGATTGACCATGAGAAGTCGAAACCTAAGCCTAATTCCTCAGACACATTTGCTAAGTCACTACAGTCTGACAGGAATGGCTTCGATGAATACCTTTGCTGCTTTTAATGGCACCGTAGAAACGTGGGATTCGTACATCACACGTTTTGAATGTTTTCTTGAGGCCAGTGATTTTACGGAGCTCTCCAGTAGCCCAAAAAAAGGGGGCCTGCTTTTTGAATTTGTGTGGGACAGAAATGTTCAACATCGCTCGGACTCCTCCTCGCATCTCAGCCGGTACACTTGGTACCATGGGACACAGTGGTGGGATTCAGCCAGTTCACACCTATTCTGGAGAACTGGTTGTTGGAAGAAATCTCCTTTTGTTTTTTTTTCCGCTTTACAGGGCTAATCCTGTAAGGAAGGCAGTAAGGAAACATTCTAGTGTTGTTTCTAGCCTGATCTTTATTGCCCTGCTTACAGAAACTGCCTCTCCGGTTAAACCTTATTACATTGTAACAGCTAAGGCGAAGCGTCCATCGATGTGAGTGCCGTTGAATTGGCCACACCCACACAGTCACATGAGAACCGAGCCCCGCCTACCCATCTGGTCATTATGGCAGAGAACTGGTTGTTAAATTATTTGAATCCCACCACTGATGAGACATAACACTATACTTAATCCATGATGACTTTGTCCTCCACCAAATTAATCCATCGGTTACTAGCCAGCTCTTCATGAATATTAGTTCCTCTTGGTGATCATGGATTTAAATTGGGGCAGCCCTTGAAGAGTATTCGGAGACTTCAACTCGTCCAGAACGCAGCCGC